AGAAATGCAGATCAAAACCAAAAAGATGCAAATCACACCGGTCAGAATGGCCAGCATCAGAGCGTCTACAATAGTAAATGCTGGAGAGGATGAGAAGGAGAGGAAACCCTCCTGCACTGTTGGTGGGAGTGTAAACTGGCGCAGCAACTATAAAGAGCAGGATGGGGCTTCCTCAAGCACATTAAAAACAGTCACCATATGATCCTGCAATCCCACTCCTAGCCATGTATCCAGACAAAACTCTAATTCAAAAAGATGCATTCACCCTTATGATCATATAGCAGCACTATTTACAGTAGTTAAGACATGGAAGCAAATGAAATGTCCATGGACAGAGGGATAAAGAAGATCCAGTGTGTGTACACACATACATACATGCAGAAGAATATTCAGCATTTCAGTCACTCAGTCATATCTGACTCTCTGTGACCCATGGATGGCAGCATGCCAGGCTTCCCTTTCCATCACCAACTCCCGGAGCTTGCTCAAACTAACACTTGTCCATTGAGTCGGTGATGCTATCCAACCATCTCATCCTCTCTCATCCCCTTCTCCTCCTGCCTTCAATCTTTGCCAGCATCAGAGTCTTTTCCATTGAGTCAGTTCTTTGCATCAGGTGGCCAAAGTATTGGAGCTTCAGCATCAGTCCTTCCAATGACTCAGCCATAAAAAAAAAATGAAGTAATGCCATTTGTAGCAACATGGATAGACCTGGAGAGTAGCATACTAAGTGAAGTCAATCAGAAAGAGACACATACCACATGATATCACTTATGTATGTAATCTAAAACATGGCACAAGTGATCCCAAGAAACAGGGAAAGAACAGACTTGTGGTTGCGAAGGTGCAGAGGAGGGATGGACTGGAAGTCTGGGGTAGTAGATGCAGATAATTACACACAGGATGGATAAACAGCAAGGTCGTACTGTACAGCACAGGGAACTAAATTCCGTATCCTGGGATGAACCGTACTAACTGGGTCTCTTGCTATATAGAAGAAATGAACATTGAAAATCAACTATACTTCCATTAAAAATAAAAAAATAAACACTGAAAAAAAATTCATGCAAGATGAGGGAAATAGAAAATCAGCGTGGAACCACAACTGTCCAGATCTATCAGTGGATGCTAAAGTTCAGCTTCGAGAGGAACAGGTTATTTATGTAAAGTGCCTTGTCCTAAGAAATTGATTTGGAAAGAAAAACAGGCTTACAGTGGATGAACCCAGCAGATACCATCTTAACCAAAAATGATCAGTGTCACCACCAGTGTGACATCAGTATGTGTGACATCACATACCTCCTGAGAAGGTACCTCACTTCTGCGGCATTTGGGCCAAAGCTGCAGAACCTCAGACAAATCACGAGAAAAACCCAGACAAACCCTTGAAATGCAGCATGTTCTACAAAGCGAGTGACCGGCAGTCTTCAAAAGGGTCAAGGTCATACACAGTAGAAGGTGATGGGGCACTGAGGAAAAGTCAGAGATGGGAGGGCTGGAAGCCGCCGCAACTGCGTGTGCTGTGGGTCCTGGACTGGATCTTGGGCCAGAGAAAGGACAAGGGTGGAAGAGCTGGTGGAAGCCACAGAAACTCTGTACTTAGTCACTAGTATGCTCCAATGCTAATTTCTTAGTTTTGACCCTTGTACTCTGGCTGTGCAGGATGGTAACCCTGGGGACCCTGTGTGGTCCAGAGTACGGAACTTGTTGAACATTTATTGGAACTTTTCTGTACGTCTATAGTGTCAACATAAAAAAAGTAAAAGGTAAAAGCACTGGTGGTGGTGGTGGGGGGCAAACAGAAAAAAAACTAGAGATAGAGAATTCCATGAAGGTTTTGTCACAGGTCAGATAAAGATTATTACCACAAGTGTGCTGAAAGATTCCAAGGATTTTAAACTCTAAATTACACACATACACACACACACACACAATCTATCTAAAACAAGGGATGAAAGAAGATGGAAGGGTTCAATGTGGGAATAATAATAAAATTGCAGTGTAAACATAAATTGATATAACCCAAATGGATTTATCTCCATGGGGGAAGATAAGAGAATGTGTGCAGAAAATAGCTAAATCATTCTCTCCGAAGATAATCCCTAAAACCTGGAGAACCAAGAACCTGCAGTGTAAGCGTGTTGTTTTTGTTTTTGTTAGAATTGTGGAGCTAATAACCAAAAAACAACTGCTGACGTTGGGGAGCGGGGATCAACGGGCAGGGAGTGGTGACCAGGAGTCAGCTGGGTTTTTTTTTTTGGTAGTAATCCTAGTAGCACTTACTAGCTCTTTAAACTCTGTGTATATATAATTAATAAAAACTGAAAATGCAGAATGTAAGTGTGAGTAGATGACACATTGATGGGGAACATGTGACTTATTCGAGGACACTGGCTGTGAAGGTGATGAGAGGGGTGGGTCGGGAGCTGGGGGGTGAAGGGAGAGCTTCTGAAGATGTGCGTGTGCTGCTGATGGAGACGACGTAGTGGAGAAGGGAAGCAGGGCAGAGAAAGGGTGAGTCTGCTTAGTTAAGAGAAGGAGAAAAGAATTTCATAGTGAAATACAATAGGCTTGTATTGTTTAATGAACTTCTGTGACGTACGTGTTAACATTTTCCTTAGGACTTTCTCACGGGTATTCACTGATGTTTTGGGTCAGGTTTTGTTGTGCTGGCTTCATAGGAATTACTCAGAAGCCTTCTTTCCCAAGGCGTTGGCACATTCTGAATAGAACTGGAGGCAACTGCTGCCTACCTACAACACACGTTAAGACACAGAAGCTTTCTGGGCCTGGTAGAGGGCAGAGGCCAGTGTGCAGACTAAGGGAGGGGAGGAGCTTGCCATTCCAGGCGAACCTGCACGTGAACATTTAAGCACTCAAGGAAAACAACGCTACTACAGCCAGCAAGCACAGAAGCTAGAGAACTGATTCCAGTGACTCGGAAAATAACTGAGAATAAATACTTTTTAAAAAGAGAACCCAGTGGATACATGCATTTTAAAAACTTAATCAAAAACATGTAGGAATGAAATGACCAGTTAAGAAATCCTTGGAAACTATCGTATTTACAGCACAGGGAACTCTGCTCAATGTTACGTGGCAGCCTGGATGGGAGGGGGTTTGGGGGAGAGCGGATGCATGTATTAATACATGTACGGCTGAGTCCCTTCGCTGTTCACCTCAAACGACCACAACATTGTTAATCACCTATACCCCCATACAAAATAAAAAGGTTAAAGTTTGGGGGGGAAAAGAAATTCCTGGAACATACAAATTGAAAAATCCTGGAGCGGGGGGGAAATCTTTAAAGCTTTCTGGGAAATTCCAGAATGGGTACGGTTAAGGGAAACAATAAATGTAAAGATTGTGTTTGGGGAATTTGCTTTAATACAGCAAGACAAGAAAAATATATTAAAAGGGGGAAAAATAGGGTAAAACGAGAAGTTCCAACATAAAATAGTTGAAATATTCAGGGTGGAGAATTTTCTAGCACTGAAGAGAAAAACATCCTCCAATATAAACAGAGCAGTATAGAGACCCACATACAGGTATTTTTCTACTGAAGTGGCAGAATATCGGGGCAGAGAGAAAGTTACAGAAGTAGAAAAGACAGATCACCGCAGAGGACCGGCACACAGCAGCAGTGCCTGCGTGTAAGGCAGCTGCAGCCTGCAGACTGAGGTGAGGCCTCACAGGGCCTCAGGCACGGCTGTAGGTCAGGGACTCCACATCCTCGTAGCTGCGTTCACCAGTGAGGGGAACATGCAGGTATCTTCAGATAAACGAAGACTTGATTTACTACTAATAAACTCTGATGAAGGAATGACCATAGTAAGCAAGAAGGAATGCAGTGCAAACACACTGGTGACAAAGATATATGTATGGTAAAATAGAAATAACAGTCGACTTAGGATATAAAAACTAAGTTTTTTGGAAACAACTCAGGCTCCAAAGAAAGCCAGGAAATAACTGTCACAAAATTCTAAGAGGGAAGGAGGAAGTCCTGATTGGGAGGGGTTCACAGAGTGGAAGACACTCTACTTTTTGACTTGCTGGTGGCTCCACAGCTGTTTGCTTTATAGTTATTCACTAAACTGTACATATGTTTTATTTACTTTCCTTGATGTTTGTTAATCACATATCTATGGACTACTAAGGACTAAATTATGTAACATCTATAAATCCTTTGGGATTCAGAAACAGAGATGAAGCCCTCCAATTATATAAGCATTAGCAGGAAAGATGAATTTTTGACAAACATCACAGTCATTACACATATGAAGTCAAAAGAAGTTGTTTTCCATCAGGTGGTGAGAAGGTGAAAGTAGACCATTTGTAGCTGAGTGTTAAGACTTCAGCGTGGCTCTTGCTTTGTTTCGCTTTAGTGTTAACAGGAAGGAAAACTGGTCTCTTTGAAGAAGAGTGAACATTTGAGCAAAGTCATCACTGACTCCTCGTGCCTCACTCAGTATGTTGAATCAGTTAGTAAGGACTGTCCATTTATCTTCACCCCGTGTGCAGACAATCATCATGTTATTCCACCGCACCTTTGCCAGTGGCCAGAATAACTTTCACCCTCTCTCCCCCCACCTCCAAAGTTAGAGTTATGCCTGTTTTCTTGGGGCATGACCACGACAGTCTGTTAGGTCGTTAACCTGGGAAAAACATTTCAGGCCAATGTAAGGTTAGCGTTCACTTGTAGAAGTGACGGCAGAAGCGCATTGTGTATATCTGTGTGCGCCTTGGAGGCACTGGAGTCTCCCACTTGGTCTGCATCAGTGGTAACAGCACTGGACTGACCTCCTGAGTAGCCATCCCTTAGAGATCTTTTAAAAGCATCATTTTTTGCTTTGAATAAGATAGGCCCTGGCTCTTCTGGGAAGACCCCAGCAGCCGGTCGGGTCTGCCCCGTGCTCCCTGCAGTCTCCCTCCAGGTGGCACGTCCCCCACCTGCCTTGACGAGCCCGCCCCCCATGGCTGTCGGCCCTTCTCTTCTCCAGGAGAGTGAAGAGGAGCTGTATTCCTCCTGCCGCCAGCTGCGGAGGCGGCAAGAAGAACTGAACAACCAGCTCTTCCTGTACGACACCCACCAGAACCTGCGCAGCGCCAACCGCGATGCCCTGGTCAGAGAGTTCAACGTCAACGAGAACCAGCTGCAGCTGTACCAGGAGAAGTGCAACCGCAGGTGGGTCCCCCTGCAGCCACTGTGAGGTCAGGCCCGGGCCAGGGCGGAGGGCAGGCTCCCCCTTCAGGAAGCCTGAGCCCTGACCCCTCTTGTCTTGGCTCCATCAACTACTTACACTAAGAGCTCACGCATCTGCACCTTCCCTGAGCTGAACTGTCCTCCTGAGCACGCCCAGGTAAGAGTGAAAATAAGCAATGACCACTACTGTTTAAGGAGCCCTTCTCGTCCTCCCAAGCCTGGGCTTGTCCAGTGGTCCTAAATTCAAGCAGAATCCCCCCACTTCCAACAAGGGGTGCTCCGAGTTGTGCTGCAGACATGTAAGGACAGACGGCCAGGTATGCCAGAGTCCTGCTCCACCAAAACTGTCCCCAAGAAAACGTCAGTAGTGACCTCCCTGGACCCAGTGTAGAGACACCTTCTCCATGTTACTCTCATTTCATCTCGATGACACCTGCATAGCAGCAGTGACCCCAGGACAGCGACCAGTGAGGACACAGACTCTGTAGAGGTTTCTTGCCTGGGGTCCACTCCCCCAGCTCTGCTGTGTATCCCCGAGTCCTAGACTAATGGATGACGGTGAAATCTGTTTTATTTCAGGTTAAGAGAGAAGAGAGTCAGCAACAGCAAGTTTTACTCATAGAAGCTGGGATCCATGTGTAAGCGTGTCGTGTATGCGTGTGAGTTTGCTTGGAGGCGCGTGTGCTCTGTTCAGACCCTGGGAACACGCTCACGTGTGAGGTCGTCACTCCCCCAGCCTGTCACCGAGATGACATACCTGAAGATGACCCAGTTGGCATGAGTCAGGGTAACCTTTTCATCTTGGACACTTTCTTAACTTACAGTCTCTAAAGAGGATCCCAAAATGTGCTCACATGAGGCCTCTAGTATTCCAAACCTCCCTGAATAAATGCAGTGAAACTCGATCAGTGACCTTCTGTGCACGAGCTGTAAAGTGAGCAGGATTCCTCCTCTGGCCTCTAAAGACCCAGGTAACTGACTTCTACAGGAGACGAGCCGGGTCTGTAAGGAACAAACTCATTAGATTCTGAAAAGGATCGCGTGTGCTCTGTTCAGACCCTGGGAACACGCTCACGTGTGAGGTCGTCACTCCCCCAGCCTGTCACCGAGATGACATACCTGAAGATGACCCAATTGGCATGAGTCAGGGTAACCTTTTCATCTTGGACACTTTCTTAAAAGTCTCTAAAGAGGATCCCAAAATGTGCTCACATGAGGCCTCTCACGTTCCAAACCTCCCTGAATAAATGCAGTGAAACTCGATCAGTGACCTTCTGCGCACGAGCTGTAGAGTGAGCAGGATTCCTCCTCTGGCCTCTAAAGACCCAGGTAACTGACTTCTACAGGAGACGAGCCAGGTCTGTAAGGAACAAACTCATTAGATTCTGAAAAGGACCTGAACTAAAAGGCAAATGATCTCACACTGAAGGCCTCGGACTTCACCAGGCCCAGAGAGGAGCCCCGGTCCTGCCCCAGCTCAGAGCACTTGAACTCCCTCCAGCGGCTGGACCCTTGGCTGCCGCACGTGAGGGGTGGGGTGGGCCGTTCATTAGGACAGGGACGGCTGGGTGAGTGGGGTCAAGGGTGGCAATCTGGGGGCTCTCTGACTTACAAGCCTATCAGAGAGCAGAGCCCCGTGAAGGCTTGGCCAGCTTCTGACTCCCCCTGGCCTGTCCACTCCCTGGTCTGCACAGCCACGGGGAGGCTCTGGGTCTGTAGCTTCCACAGCCGCGGGCTCGCTTACTGCTCACACGGGGTGAGACAGTGTGCGCTCCCTGGATGAGCCAGTTTCCTGGAGCAGTGAGCTAAGCTTTAGGGACCGACAGAAAATCTCAGGTGTGGCCACTCCGGAAGGGGCAGACCCACCGAGGACGAGATGATACTCATCTACATCCTGGGATGCTATTTACTGATTTGTACAGTGTGATGCTTTAGTACGGCTTTTTCAAGGTGAGGATGCTAGTGGGCTGGGGGCGGGGGTGGTCAGGAGAGGCACACCACAGAATGAACTGAGAACTGACTTAGGAGAAAAGAGGTTCACCTATGAGGAAAAAAAAGTGCTGGGGAGGAACCGACTAGCAGTCAGCCTAGGGGCTTAACTTGGATGGAGCTGGCTCCTAGAAACCCACTCCCCACACGATTCTGGGCTTACTGTGCCTGTATCAGCGAAGAGTCCATTAAAGCCAGCCACACTCTGTGTGATCAGAAGACCCCCTCCCTCCATTCCACACAAGTTTACTGAGAACTTCCACATAACAAGCAGTAAAGTCAGGGGAGACCATGTCTTTAAAATGTTAAGGAAAAATAGCCATTATCCTGGTCTCCCGGAACCTTTCCATGTGCTTCTAAAAGAAATGCATTTCTCTCCCATGAAGCCCGCAGGACACCTGATAGCACACTGACCAAGGTGGGGCTCTTAATTCACTTAGTTATTCCTGAGTTGAAGTTGCGAGTTTATTTGGCATTAGCAACTGAGGGACGAATATTCCTGGTGGTAAAAAATGTTCAAAGCAACTTTCAAGAAAACTTAGATGAAAAAGGCACCGAGCTGAGTGCTGCAGGGCAGACACTGTGGGCAGTGTCCGATTAGCTGTTGGCCAGGCAGCCGGTGGAGCCTAAGCTCAAGCTGCTTTTGGCTCCATCATTTTCTCTACAAGTTCAAGTGTCGATGGCATTACCTGTTTGCAGCCTGGAGTGTGTAAAGGACATAACACTTTCCCACTTCACTCCATTTAAAAGCTTAAAAGCTAAGATCTGGACCCTCTTTCCGCTTAAAATGCATTTATCTGCTACTCTGTCAAAGGAGTGATGAAGTAGCAGCGTAGAGGACAGAAGGCTCGGCATCTGTTCAGCTGCTGTTTTGTAGAATCCTTACCCAGCCACATCCTCGCAGAGCAGAGCAGCGCAGCTGAGGGGAGGTGCTGGCATTCTCAACGGTGCTGACAAGAACCCTTGCCCTGAAAAACTGGCTTCTCCTCCCACGTGCTACAGTGATGTTGATTCAGCACCACAGAGTATGTGCCTTGGCCCCACCATTCTCCCATAATAGGGTAACACATGAATCTGGTCATGTTGGTGGTGGGATTCTCTCCATGAGGATGCACAGAGAGAGAAAGAGGGGCACAGAGGACATCGCTGCTCTTCCGAGTCTGCCCGGATGCCACGTAACCCGAGTATAAAACACCTAGCTGAGACTGCTTTCACAGCCACGTGAAGAGCATAGCCAATTCAGATCAAGCAGAAGAGGGACAGGCACATTGTGAAAGAGGGCAGCAACACCGAGGGGCTCAGGCCACGACTGCCTGTGTGCACAGCTGTCTATCCTACTGAACGAGGGAAATGGTGAACATTAGTTATTACGTGGAAGACGAAATGGAGGAGGCTGGTTAGATAATCTGAGTTTGGGAAATTTAGGTTGGAGAAAGTTAATTTCTCTGCTGTAAACTTGGCTATTCTAACGTGCACACTGAAGAGGGGGTAGAATGTGACATTTCCTGAGTCTGATCTGAGAACACTTTTGCCAAGAAACATCTTACAGGACTAGTTACATAGGAACACATTTGAGGACTGGCTTCTCTATTAAAGACAGTGACATGATCTAATAATTTATATGCTTTACGATGTAGTTAAATCAGATCTGAACTTAAGCCAAGGCCAGTGGTTTTTAAACTGGTCTAGCCTTACCGCTAGCAGTCTACCAGAGCTTTCAAGGAGTCACAGGCTCATTTTTTCAGGGGATCAATGTTCAGATCCTTGACTTCCTGTTGCACTCTATCCAAAGACTCATCAGCATGAGAAGATGCCCTTTTCTCCCCTTACAGAAAGAAGTAGGTCTTCTCCCGACATTCAGTCTTACTGTAGAGCAGGACTCGAGATATAGTTTCAAAGCACAGTGTTTGGAAAGTGAAAGCCTCTTAACAGGATACCGATCCTTCTCCAGTGCTGATGGTTTCCAGTTCCTTGCTTTCAACAAAACTGAAGGAGTACCCAGATATCTGAGTACTTTAGCATGTAATTCTGAAGGAGATGGCTTTACCCTGCTGTCACTAACTCCTCCTGTTCTCATTTGTCTGTGAAAAAGGATCACTAGCATTCCCATTTGTACAACTGAAAGCGGAGAGCAGAACTGATACTGTCCCACGGCCGTTCTACCAGAGATAACGGTAATCCACACAGAGATCAAAGAATGGAGGAGAAGCCTTCTTTGACTCATTACATTGCCAGTGGAATTTTACTGTGTTTAGTTCTTTATTACATGTGTACTCTGTTTATTAAACAAGCTGAATTCAGAAGAAATTTAAAATATGTGGAGCCTTTTTAAATGATGGTGTAGGTAGGATGATGTGTAATTTTGTTACAGATATGCAACTAAACAGTATATAAGCCAAGAATAATTAGGCTACAATTTTGTAAAGTAGAATAAAAATATAAATTCAATGAGTAAAAAAAAAGTGGCATTTCCTACCATTAAAAATTCCCTTGTTTGTAGAATTTTTTGAAAGGATGGTCGTATCTATCACCAATTGTATTTAGAACCTTTGGCTGTATTTAAAGGGAAATGGAAATATCTTACCTGAAGATGCAGTATCTACCATGTACCACATGCACCTTTGCAACTGTTCAGGATGAAATCATTAGCCATCAATGTAGAAATGCGTAAGGGGACCCATGAGTTTTCCACAGTCACTTATGAGGTCTCTGAGCATAAAATTTTAAGAAGACTGATCCAGGGTCACTAAGGGTGAGTTTTATTTGGACTTAAGAAGGATGGTTGAAGGGGGCTCTAGTTCTTTTAATTTCTAGANGAGGTCTCTGAGCATAAAATTTTAAGAAGACTGATCCAGGGTCACTAAGGGTGAGTTTTATTTGGACTTAAGAAGGATGGTTGAAGGGGGCTCTAGTTCTTTTAATTTCTAGAAGTGTAGCTGATCTTTCCATATAGGTGATATCCAGCTTTTTGGAGACAACCCTAAAAGCTATATTCTTACCAACAGAAAGCTGATCATTAGATAAAGAAATATGCAGAATTATAAAACTGGCGTTTGAAAACTACTCAGTGATTTTGTGTCAGGCTTTTCATTCTCAAAATATTTTCTTCCTGAAGAACCAGTTCCATGGTGACCCTGTCTCAGAAATGTCCATACTTATTTCTCAATAGACTTTAAAAAGCTGCATTTGTAAACGTGTGTTTATTATTAAAGCTTAATTTATTTTTTATATAAATAGTGTGTGCTTGTGTGTACATAGAGAATCATGTGAATGTATCACACAAATGTTGGCTGTTGTTAATGTGAGAATTAAACAGCTATATCACATTTAAAAAAAATAAAACTTTGTCTCATTCATAGATTACTAGCAGTCTGTCTGGAATCATTTTTTGTTGTTGTTAAAAACTATTCACATTTTTTGTTCTTCTATAAACTAGGATATAGGTCTGCCAGTGATAACACAGTTACCATTTTTAAAAAAATAATGTTTTTCTATCCTTTCCTTTTTTCCCTAGGTTACTAGTCTTTCTTACTTTAAGCAAAATCTCACTCCGTGTAGAAACCCAAGTTTCTAAAATTAATACGTGACCGCTCTGCAGTTTGTTGGTCTTAGGAAGAATGTTTTGTGCTAGTCATGCAATGATGTTAGTAAAAACACCTGTATTTCTCAACTAAGCAACAGGGCCCGCCAGGCTATCAATCACTGTATTTTCTTGTCATCAGGTCCTGTGCGCAGGAAGCCACACTGCATCCTAGACCTGATGACTGGACTAGTCACCCTGGCCCAAAAACTTGAGTGCAGTCCATGACAAACCCCTGCAGTAGAAGAGACATGGAGAGTAGTAAAAAACAAAGAATGAATTAAAATTGCTGAAAGATCACTTTTTAAAAATGGATAAAGTCATAACTCCCATAAAGATACTAACTGAATACCTGTCTGAAATTTTATTTAACCCCTTCATTAACCATGGAATGAATAAAATATAATAACTGGTTCAGAGGAGAATTCAAAGAGGAACACGCGATTAGGCTCCCCGGTGGTCCTGATTATCTGATTCTACACCTTTCATTGTGAGAAGTTCAGACGATTCTTATCCCTAGAAACCCAGATTGTGTCCAGTGAAGACTGAATGGTCACTGGCTCTGAGTATTGACCAGTTTTCCTAGTTTTTTTTTTTTTAATCTGTTGAGCAAATTTATGTTAGCATCACCAACAGGCATGAAATCTGACCCTGACCTTATACCACACACAAATATCAACCAAAGTTAGATTACAGATCAAGAGGTAAAAGATCAAACAGTATCACCACCTTATAGTAGGGAAAAGTTGTTTCAACAAAACAACAAACGCTTCACCTGGCACAGAAGGCAGCTAAACTAGAGTCTGCTAGAGTTCACCACTGCTGTTCATCAAAAGATACAGTGAGGATAATAAAAAGGCAAGCCACAGGGTGGAAGAAGACTTTCCAATAAACTTATCTGACAATCTCGCTGAAAATGTGACTCGACCCCTCCAAGTTACTAAGATAATCCTCTAGGGTAAAAGGTATATTCCATGAATAATCACCTCACTAGAGTACATCCAAATGGCTGGTAGGCAAATGAAAAGATGCTTACTCATTATTTGCAAGAGGAAATGCAAATTAAGACCACAAGAAGATACCACTAACACACTTACTGGATTGGAAAAAATTGAAAAGTCTGTTAACAGTACAGTCAGTTCTTAGCAAGAACATAGAGCAACTGGTAATTGTGTAATTTGATAGTAAATTACATTGTAAAGATGTTTGACTCTCTACTGATGTCTACCACGTGCATAGCCTATGAGCAAGCATTCTACTCCTGCATACAGCTGGCCCTCCATATCTGTGAGTTCCGCACTCGTGGATTCAACCAACCTCAGATCATGTACTATGTTTGCAGTCCACACTGGCTGAATCAGCAGGTGCCGAATCCATGAGTGCGGAGGGCGGGCTATGAGACTTAAGCATCCTGAGAGTTTTGTATCCACAGCAGATCCTGCAGGCAATCCCCTATGGACACTGCGAGACAAGAGCATACCTGCTAGAAGGGCATCCCTGTGTCTCCTAAGGACAGGTGCAGGACAGTCTGTAGCACTGTTCCGCACTAGGCAAAGCCAGAGGAGTCCTGTTGTCCCTCTACTGTGTGTGTTAACTGTGTGTCTTCACACAGTGGAGCACACAGCAACTACAAGTGGCTGAGCTGTAAGCAGCATGGATGGATCTCACAAGTGTAATTTGAGTGAAGGGAGCTAACAACACAAACAGCAAAAAAAAAAAAAAAAGGAAAACCACAAATTACTAGGATGATATACAGGAAAATGTAGGATATTTGAGAGATGGATTAGTATAAAAAGGTGATGCAGAATGGAGCTCAGTGCATATATACAACATGGATACATTCAAACACTGCAGTGTGAAAAAAGTGAAACGCAGAAAAATGCACTCAGTGATACCATTTATACACATTTTAAAAACTACAAACAAAACTATTATATGTTGCATGGAACAGACATACAGATAAGTGGAAGTATAAAACTGGACTGAAAGGGACATTGAAAAGTCAAGGTAAAGATTGAGCCGGTGGGGAAGGCAGTGTTAACTCTGTTGTGTGTTTCCTTTCTTTTTTGAACACTGGAAGTGTTGGTCTGCCTGGTACAAACGTAAAAGCAGACCTGCTTACAAAGAAGAACTTATACTGATCCTTCTCCAACTCTGCTTAAAGACTGAAGAGGAAAGAACACTCCCAAAGAGATTCTATGAAGCCATTATCACCTTGATACCAAAACCAGAGACTCCACCAAAAGAGAAAACTACAGCCTAGTCCTTTTGTTGACTACAGACCCAACAAATCTCAACCAAGTATTAGCAAACTGAATCCCACAATACATAGAAAAGATCATAAGCAAATGGCAGCCAACTGAGCCGACTGTACCCTTTTCCGCGCGGGGCCCAGTGTGCGATGGCGGCACACGGCCGCTTCCTCAGTGGGGTGTGCAGCCCGATGGCCTGCTCCAGTTGCCCTATGGGGCCTTGGAGACAGCCCTTTCCAGTGGACATGCATGACTGGCATGCCGTCCCCAATCTGGGCTCCAGACAGGAGTGCACAGTGCCTTTGGAAAGCCCCAGGGCACACTGGCCAGGGTCCACATTGCCCAATTCATCATGTCCATCTGCACCAAGCTACAGAACAAAGCTACCAAGCTACAGGTACCTGTGATTGAGGGCCTCCATGGGGGGCCAAGTTCAAGTTCCCTGGTCTCCAGAAGAGCCACATCTCCAAGAACTGGGGATTTACTAAGTTTAATGTGGATGAGTTTGAAAACATGGTGGCAGAAAAGTGGCTCATCCCAGATGGTGGTGAAGTCACATCTATCCCTCATCATGGCCCTCAAAACAAATGGTGGGCCCTGTGCTCATGAGAGCCTTGGCCCTGTCCCCTCCTTACTCGTGCCCACTGATATAAATCCTACTTTCCTGTCAAAAAAAAGTCATACACTATGACCAACTTGGATTCATCCCAGGGTCACAAAGATGGTTCAACATATGTAAACCAACGTGATAAACTACATCAACAAAAGAGAAAAGCCCATGATTCTCTCCATAGATGCAGAAAAAGCATTTGATAAAATTCATCCATTCACAATAAAACCCTTACAACGGTGGGTATAGAGGGAACATATCTTGACATAAGAACAGCTATTTATGACAAAACCATATGCAATAGACTCAAGCTTAAAAAGCTGAAAGCCTTCTGGCTAAAATCTGGACCAAGACGTGGATGCCCACTCTCACCACTTCTCGTCAACACACTACTGGAAGTCCTACCTGCAGTAATCAGAGAAAAAAAGAAGTAAAGGTTCTTCAAACTGGTAGGACAAGAGTGAAATCGTTACAGACACAGAGAACGGGTTTGTGGTTGCCAAGCAAGAGGGACGGTGTTGACGTCAAGGGTTGGCAGATGTGGGTTATTACGCACGGGATGGGCAGACGGCCAGATCCTCCTGTCTAGTGCAGGGAGCTATATTCCATAGCACGGGGTAAAACCATACTGAAAAGAATACATATGTGTGCATATTTGAGCCACTTTACTGTATAGCAGAAATTAATACATTATAAATCAACTATACTTTCATAAAAATAAACTACAATAAAAATAAACCTTGAAACGCATAAATACAGGTGTGAGGGAGACAAATTACCATCAGAACGCCACTGTCAAGATCTACAAGTGAGTGCTAAAGTTAGTGAAGGTTTGAGGGGACGCAGGCTAATTGCAGTCTCAAAACACCTTCTTCTAGGAAATATAATTGTAAAAAAATCAAGAGCTTTACAGTGGATGAACCTAGCAGATATCATACCAAAAATGATCAGTGTCACCACCACTAATGTGTGATGTCATGTACCTGAGAGGTACTTTGTTTCTGTGAAAGTGTTAGTCACTCAAGTCACGTCTGACTCTTTGTGACCCCAGGGACTGTAGCCTGCCAGGCTCCTCTGTCCATGGAATTCTCCAGGCAAGAATACTGGAGTGCATAGCCACTCCCTTCCCCAGGGGATCGAACCCAGATCTCCTNACCACCACTAATGTGTGACGTCATGTACCTGAGAGGTACCTCGTTTCTGTGAAAGTGTTAGTCACTCAAGTCACGTCTTACTCTTTGTGACCCCAGGGACTGTAGCCGGCCAGGCTCCTCTGTCCATGGAATTCTCCAGGCAAGAATACTGGAGTGGATAGCCACTCCTTTCTCCAGGGGATCGAACCCAGGTCTCCTGCATCGCAGGCGGATTCTTTACTGTATGAACCACCAGCCTCAAACAGATCATCAGACAACCCTTGAAATGCAAGATGCTCTACAAAGCAAATGACCAGCAGCCTTCAAAAGTGTTCAGGTCACAAAGGGCCAGGGGGGTGTGCAGGGCGGTGGCACTGAAGCAAAGCCACGGATTGGAGGAAACTGGAAGCCATAGCAACTGCATGTTGTGTGGGATCCTGGACTGGATCCTGGATGAGAAACAGGGCACGGGTGGAAAAGCCAGTGAAAGCCGAATAAAATCTGTACATTACTCGCATTGCTTCAGTGCTGTAAGTTTTAAATGTCAACACAAAAAATTAGAAGGGAAAAGCATTGGTGGTAGAGAACAAAGAGAAAAAACCAAAGATGGAGAACTCCACGAAGATTTTGTCACAGGCCAGAGAAAACATTTCACCACAGGTGTTTTCTAGGAACACAGGATTGTTTTCTATTTGATTACACACACACATACATCGATCTAAAACCAGTTGTCAAAGAAGATTCACGAGTTCAAAGTTGGTAATAGTAATAAAATCAAAATGTAAACA